GTCAATTCCGACGTTGCTATGACAATCTAGCGGTTCTGAATCAGCGACTGTAAGTATGTTTTGTTAATAGTTTAAGTATTTGCTATTGACTGTTCAAATGCGAAGTTTTGCGCAGTGCAGAGTAACGCGTCGTTCGTGTGTGTGTGTGTGTGTGTGTGTGTGTGTGTGTGTGTGTGTGTGAGGGGCGGGTCCGTGAAGCTCCGCCGCTCGAACAAGAGGAAGAACTGCGGGCTCCGGAGGTCCAGAGCAGGTCCAGCGCAGATCCGGACTCTCACACACACACACTGTTGAGGCTGACACGCTTTAGCATGTTTAAACTGTAGTTATGAACTTGAGCTGAAGTTTCTCGCTCTGTGCGGATTTACAGTCGAACTGCGACCTTTGGCATCGTGGGTGAGAAAACTACTTTATTCTGTTTGATAGAAATGCAGGAACTCATGAATGACGAACGCCTGCAGTGAATGTAAATTAAATATTGATCCTAAAGTTACGCGATTTTATGATGGTGTTATAGTCCAAGAAATAGAATTGTTTTTCTTTTTCCCCGTCGTAAAGTTGGCGATTGGTAGCTCTAATCACATCTGGATCAGTGTGCAAAACACGGATATTAATAGAAACACATTTTGTCTTATAGAGGTCAGCGAAATATTCTTGAGCAGTGAATGATTGGTGATTTATATGAGATTTTCTTCATAATAATATTGAAATATTTAGCGTGAAGATCTGAAGATCTCTAACACTAAACTTGATCTCGTTGTCTTTCAGAGATTTAAGTCTAGTTTAATATTAGGCCTGTTAGAGTCGCTCGAACGAGATCAGTATCCAGTTAAACGTTCGGCTCTAGATCTCAGTTCGGCTCTAGATCTCAGTTCGGCTCGCTCGGGGTTTCTGTGATTTCTGATGAGGATTATGAAGAGATTTTTTTTTCTATAGAAATATAGTTACTGGCGGTTTTAAAAGCGTTTTCATGTTTAAATAGCGACGGCACGGGACAAAAACTGAAGAATTATATTTAATAAAAAAACAAAAAATCTGGGGATAATAAAATTATGACATATGCTTTCCATGCGAGACAATTAGAAAACGAATAATAATGAATACTGCGAAATATAGCCAATGTTTTCCATGTATCATAATTTGAGAAAAGAAACAACTTTTTTTTAAAAAGTGGGGAAACAAGACGGTGTTTCATGGAGTTTAACGGCGTGGTTTGCGTGTGTTTTCTCAGGATCCTCGAGTTCGGTTCCGAGATGGGCAGTAAAGCTTTACCGGCCCCGATCCCGCTGCACCCGGCCCTGCAGCTCAACTACGCGTTCCTGCAGACGCTCAACGCGTTCCCCGCCGCCGCGGATCATCTGTACGGCCTGAGCTCGCTCCAAACCCTGCAGATGAACCACTGGACTCTGGGCTACCCGCCCGTTCAGCGCCTCGTGGACCCGCGCTTTGCGTTCGCCGCGCACCTCTTCCACCCCAAACCCGCTGCCGCGCTGCACAAGGACAGACCCAGGTTCGACTTCGCGAACCTCGCCGCGGCGGCCACGCAGCAGGATCCGCCCAAACCGGGCGAGCTGGCCAAACTCTCCCCGGAGCGCAAGCCCGCGCGCGGCAGACTCCCGTCCAAAAGCAAAAAGGAATTTATCTGTAAGTTTTGCGGGAGACACTTCACCAAATCCTACAACCTGCTGATCCACGAGCGCACACACACCGACGAGCGGCCCTACACCTGCGACATCTGCCACAAAGCGTTCCGGAGACAAGACCACCTGCGAGACCACAGGTGAGTGTGTGTGTGTGAGAGAGTGTGTGTGTGAGAGAGAGAGTGTGTGTGTGTGTGTGTGTGTGTGTGTGTGTGTGCAGCTTGACTCACTCTCGCTTGTTCTGCAGATATATTCACTCCAAGGAGAAACCGTTCAAGTGTCAGGAGTGTGGGAAGGGGTTTTGTCAGTCACGAACTTTGGCGGTTCATAAAACGTTGCACTTGCAGGTAAATTGTCCTCATTTGTATCTTCTGTATGTGGATGACATTCTGCACAAACAGAGTTTTGTTCGTTGAGCTCTTAATTAAAATGTCATGTTTGGGGCTGTCGATTATAGCATGCATGGGCCTATATAAACATCTCTGGGCCTCAAATGTTGACATTGAAGCGTTTATTTTTGATGGAAAACTGAAGGGAATAATCCTTTGCTTGCTTCAAATCTGAACAGGAATCTCCTCACAAATGCCCCACATGCGGAAGAACCTTTAATCAAAGAAGTAACCTGAAAACTCACCTTCTCACCCATACAGACCTCAAGCCTTTCTCCTGCGGCTGCTGCGGGAAGCTGTTTCGGCGCAACTGCGACCTGCGACGCCACAGTCTGACACATAGCCCACAGCAGGACTACTAGCTAGTGCACTAACCAGTGACTCCCACAGCAGGACTGCTAACTAGTGCACTAACCAGTGACTCCCACAGCAGGACTGCTAACTAGTGCACTAACCAGTGACTCCCACAGCAGGACTGCTAACTAGTGCACTAACCAGTGACTCCCACAGCAGGACTGCTAACTAGTGCACTAACCAGTGACTCCCACACGCTCACTCTGCTCTCAGCCTCTGCTCACGGACGCCACGGACTCGCTGGCACCTCAACAGACTCTGTGTGAACTCCTGTAAAGCTTTTATTGTTATTTTTATTTTCACCTGCATCTGAACTCCAGTGTTTCGGTCTGTGTTCACCTCTGGGAGGATTCAGTGTGTGAATAAAGCGGCTGATCTACTCACATGAGCGCAGGATTAATAAAAGATCTTCGAGTCAAAGACAATCAAATGTGAGTGAGAAGAGACGGACACAATTCTGCTTTAATAAAAGAGTTTTCTTTTTTTAAATGGTGATTAGACCTTTGTATAAAAAAAAACCTCTACTTTTCCACTTTTTACATTTTGTAATAATAATGTTTTATTTTAATATGGAATTAAATGTCCCGACATGGTTATCTAATTTGAGATATTATTAAAAAAGCTGTGAGCAGTAACCTGCAGAAGTGTTGAGCTGCTGAGCTGAAATACGGTGATTGTGGAAGAAGTGAGACATTTTCAGTTTAAGCTTTTTATTTTTTAAGAATGAATGACAATTATAATATTTAGCTGTGTGGACTTTCTTTGTTTCTTACACCATTAAAAGCGTAGCTCGATGTAATTCATATTTCTCTGCATGTGAACTGATCTCCTGCAGAGCCGCTCATTAATCCAGAAAACGCGTTTATTTATCGCATCTCTAATTTGAGGTGTATGTGTAACATATTTATGCGTTCGTCTTAAAAACACGCAATGTGAATAAATATATCGTGCATATAAATAGTATAATATAAACACATTATAATCGTTATTTTAAAGCATGAATAATGTGAAAAGCAAAGCTGCAGAAACACAGAGAAGGAAGATCGAGAAAAGCTCATCCAGAAGTCTGTTGATCGAAAATATAAAAACTCCGCAAAGACGGGTGAATTATGAGCCACAGCAGATTCATTTGTAGAGTTCTGATCATTTCGTATAAACCTATATGCATTTTGGATCAGGAAGCTGCAATGATTCCCATCAAAGGCCTGCGATCAAATCCTCCAGAAAGAAGAGATAACTCATAACCCAGTGCGATTCAGAGGAAAACACTGCGCTTCTTGCGGATTTATTGATTATGACTCTATCAGTGTTCGATGAAATCAACTCACAGTATTTGTAACTCATTAGTATGTTTAATAATGGAGATTTAGAGTTGATCGCTCATTAAAGAGTCGAGCAGAGCCTCAAACTAACGCGTTCACACTGCACTGTCAGTGTCTAAATCAGAATCATTAGTGTGTGGTGGTGCATATTTATTCATGCAGAAATCAGAATTATTAGTGTGCGGTGGTGTATATTTATTCATGCTTCTGCATGAATAAATATACACCACCGCACACTAATAATTCTGATTTAGACACTGACAGTGCAGGGAATGACAAAACGCAAAGTCTGAAGACGCGTCGCTTAAAAGCTGAACTTCATCTAACTTGTTATAACGCCGCGTGCGTCGCTCGCTTACGCAATGCTGCCATGACGCTCGCGCACACGTCTGCTTCGCGTCAGCCCTGTGCCGGAAGTGACGTGTCGACGCAGGCGGTGACGCTGTGGCGTTGTGTATGCGGAAGTGATGGACGCGGCTTGTGTTTCTGCAGGAGTCTGAGGCGTCGGATGAAGCTGTAAGTGTGTGTGTGTGTGTGTGTGTGTGTGTTGATCATGAAGGCTTTAGAAACAGCGATCTAACCCGAGCTTGCTAAGAGTGTCAGTGAGGAATGTAAACACGGGGTCAAATGGTGCAGAAATGACCCGCTTACTCAGTCAAATTAAGGCCCACGCTTTAATAACTTTAGAAATAAAGCCTCTAATAGCTTGTAATACATTTTGGGCTTTTGGCACAATTCGTGTTTTTAATTTCTGTCAGAAATCTGTCGTTTTTAGGAGAATTCTCGCTTTAACTTCTCGAGCACAGACACAGGGATATCAGAGTAGACATTCTCATCAAGAAGAGACGTTTAAAGGAATACATAAAATAGCTGAAGAGCTGAAATGTATGAAAAGGTAACGACTGTAGTGGTGTAAAGCACTGTCCTGCTCCTGATGGAGGACTGAGCTTCACAACTCTCTCACGTGATGAAGGAAGAGAGTTATTGAAAGCACATCAGAAAAACAGGTTCCCAAGTTCATGAATTACTTCACAGTACGCACACATTCACACTTAATCTGCTGAATAATACTCTGGCCATGTGACAACCAAGAATTACATTACATTGCATGAATTACGTAAATGGTATTTGACAAAAGTTGATTAGTTTTGCTGGATATTACAGTCGGCTGTTTAAGATTCTTTTGTAAAACAGTTGTGACTGAAATATTAAATCTTACGTCGTGAGTGCTCTGCTCAATCTGACCTGTGCTGCAGCCTGGAGTTAAACCACATCACGCTGGTGCGTCTGGCCAGAGGAGAACCGGCCCTGACTGAGTCTGGTTTCTCACAAACTGTTTTCTCCGTTCTGTCAGCGATGGAGTCTTGGTTTCTTTGTCTTGCTTACGCCGAGTTCACACTGCGTGACTTCACAATAGCAAGAATCGCGACAGCTCTGTCTGCTGCAGGGTTGCCAGGTGTTCGCTACAAAACCTGCTCAATTGCTACTCAAAACTAGCCTGAAAATAGCCCAATTGCTTTCGAGGGGTCCCCAGTAAAGATCGCGTTCGGGTTTTTGTGGCGGGGTTCTCCAGGTACAGTTCACATTCCAGGGCCTAAATATCACGGATCGCGGATTTGGCAACACTCACGTTTCATATAACTGCTCCCCGAACTTCCCGCTGCGCTGTATCGTGCTCTCTCATTGGCTGTAGGTCATCGCCGATGTGTTTTTCAGTCAGAACTCATTGCACACAGCATGATTGTGAATCGCCGACAGCTCCAGATATTTAGCATGCCAAACATTTCACAGGCGTCGGCGACTCCCTCAGATCGCGTCTTTGATCATTCACACTGCGTGATTGTCACTCGCGTGATCGAGCACCGATTTGCCTCCGATGTCCGGCATTTGTCGGCGATTTTGCAAAACCTGTCGACGAGTGAAAAATCGGGCTAAAACCGTGCAGTGTGAACTCGGCATTAAGTCAGTTCATTCCAAGTTCAGCTCTCTTCAATAATGTCTGTGCAATCAGTCAAGCGTCCCCAGCTAATGCCGAGTTCACACAGCACGATTGTAGCCCGATTTTTCACCAAGATACAGCGCAGCGGGAAGTTCGGGGAGCAGTTATATGAAACGTGAGTGTTGCCAAATCCGCGATCCGAGATATTTAGGCCCTGGAATGTGAACTGTACCTGGAGAACCCCGCCACAAAATGTGTATTTTACCCCGGAACGCGATCTTTACTGGGGACCCCTCGAAAGCAATTGGGCTATTTTCAGGCTAGTTTTGAGTAGTAATTGAGCAGGTTTTGTAGCGAACACCTGGCAACCCTGCAGCAGACAGAGCTGTCGGCGATTCTTGCTATTGTGAAGTCACGCAGTGTGTAACCCTGTCGCCGAGCCATCGTGCAGTGTGAACACAGACAGTCACGCAGCGGGAAAACAACAGCGATGCCACCAGTTTGAAAATCATGCAGTGTGAACTCAGCATAAGCTGGAAACTGACTCTCTTATCGTCCTCTTGCATCATTGACAAACTATTTTCCTGTTTGACTCTGTAAAGCTGCTTTGACACAATCAGCATTGTATAAAGCTCTATAGAAATAAAGGTAAAATGATATATTTTAGACTTTTATTATGTACACCCCGGTGACCTCAGTTAGGGTTACAGCACCTGCTGCTCAGATCTGTTCAGGTAAATGTTGTGTGTGTTCAACGACCGATGGATGAGCGGCATTCATGTGTTCTGTGGAAAATTGTGTCAGTGAGGTTTAAATCAGATGACAGCTGATCAGAGCTTTTAGTGATGGTCTATTAGAAATCGAGATTAATTTCTACAGGTGTCTAACTGTGTGTGTGTGTGTGTGTGCGTGCGTGTGTGTGTGTGTATTTGTGTGTGTGTGTGTGTGTGCGTGCGTGTGCGCCCGCAGGCATGACAGAAGGTCAGGATGCTGGAGTCCTATGTTTCTCCTCTCTTGATGAGTTATGTGAACCGCTACATAAAGAACCTGAAGCCGTCGGACCTGCAGCTGTCACTATGGGGCGGCGACGTGGTTCTGAGCAAACTGGACCTGAGACTGGACGTGCTGGAGCAGGTGAGAGAGTCACAGCATCAACACACGGTTTGACAGCACAGCACAGCTTTCCTTCACTCATGGCCTTCTGTGGGCCTTTTCTGAAGGAGCTTTACTGCGTTTTAAAATATGGCGGCACTTCTGGTTTCGGGATCTGCCACCCAGAAGGACTGAAACAAATCATGAAGGGTCTGGACATTTTCCATCACGCTCTATTTTTATTCCTCTGGAAAATAATGTCCTGCCAGAATATCTGAGACATCTGTAATATCTCCTGAGATTTCATTCATGGTTTGCTGAGAGTAGTTTGTTCATATAAGTTTCCTTTCAGTGTTCGATGGTTGAAGGTGAGGAGAGTAATGTCACATCTCTGTATTTAGTTTTTGAAAATGTCTATCATTGCATTCATTCGCTGGCAGCTGCTGATTGTTTACGGTCTGACGGATGTTACTCCCATAATTTACACAAAGCACAAATGTAGGAAATCGGTGGATACATAGAACAGCCTAAGCCTTGGTTACTGTGGATATTTCAAACAAGCATGAGGAATGATTTTTATCTGTCAGATTTACTGAATGAAATGATTAAATGATGCATTTGCATGATTAAATCTGTGAGAATCAGAATCGAGTCAAATGCAACGAAGAAAGTCTCGTTTGACAGCCATTACAGCTGATGGCATTAGTGTGAGGAGCAGTTATGTTCAGGTACCTTTCAGTGGTGCGTTCACTGCTGTACACTGCAGTCGTCGGGATCAGTGACGTGGAGCAGATGAATATGTTCGTGTTCATTCGGGAATGAGGGCGACACAGAGAGTAATACAGCGCAGGTATTTGAAAAGGGAAAATTCAGTGTCGCTAGCAGAAGAGACCCGGCAACCATGTTTAACCTTATTTTGAGATCATTTCTGTAAAATTGCTGTGCAAACACGCAGATCATAGACTTACATTTAAACAAGCAAAAGCTTGGAAACTAAGCAAAGGTAGGACTGGTCAGTAGCAAAGGGTCAGTTGATTCTGAAATCATTCTGCATCAGTTTGCAAAAACAAAATCAAAATGAATATTGATAAAACACAGCCAACATTAAAAAAGAAAAAAAAAAACTTGAAATGATATTTTCAGCTGAGTTCCTTAGAGGTGTCAGTATTGAGTGTTTTCATGTTGTTTCTTCAAAGCTGTCAGTGTTTCTGAAGGGTTGAAGTGGATGTTTGTGGATGTTTCCCAGCTCTCGCATACGTGCAGCAAACCATTTGCTTTGCGTTCTTATTTGGGCAACTCTGAGCTTTTGAGCAGTTGTAATATCTGGAACGGATCAGTGTGTGATGTTGTGAGAATGTTTGGCTCCGCACACGCTCTCAGAGTTTGATGCAGAGTATTATTAGAAGCAGCTTGCGTCGTCCCGAGCGGGAGTTAAACTTTCTCTAGTGATCTTCAATTAAAGCCACTCTGGGATCCTGTCAGGACGCCTCGGGAAGCGTTTGAAGCCTTTGTGAATGGGTTCTGTTTGATTGTGAGTGTTGAATTGCTGAACTCTGGTTTGACGGATGGGCTGCGTGTGTGTTTGCAGGAGCTCAAGCTGCCCTTCACCTTCCTGAGCGGACACATCCACGAGCTGCGCATCCACGTGCCCTGGACCAAACTGAGCTCGGAGCCCGTGGTCATCACCATCAACACCATGGAGTGCATCCTCAAGCTCCGAGACGGAGCCACGGTCAGTGTCTGAATGAGATCTAGAGTCTGGGACACGAGCGGCTGAAGCTCAGAGCGAGCGTGGGTTTGTGTGGACTGAAGCACAGCCGATGCTCATGTATGAAAGCTCTGATCTATGATGTCTGTGTGAGTGTGAGCAGAAAATCGCTCAATCCACAGTTTGGACATACTAATAAGAAACATGTTTCATGTTAATCTAATAGACTTTAGTCAAGGAAATGCCATATTTAATTTAAAGCACAGTATGGCGTCCTCTCTGACGGAGGTCTATAGCACTGCTGGTGGAGCAGACGAGTGTGCAGCGCTGTAAATGCATCTTTAAAACTACAGCGGTTAGAAAGTATAATCACATGAGGCTAGTGTGACAGAATCACTCACCAGTCCTGACTGAAGTGATATTCTGCTGCTCACTGAGTAAACCTCGTGGCCTTCACGTGATGTTTGCACAGCAAGGCATGTGAAGTGGCGATCCGTGAGGTTGTTTGCATGCAGCATCTGCAGCGAGTAACACAGCCAGCAGTTCCTTCATCCAGAACAGTTGTAGCACCACTAAAAGATGATTGAGACACTCGAATACTGAAGAGTTCACGTCAATGATTCAACAACAGTATAGAAATATCCCATGTTTCGCATGATTGTGCAGCGCTTTACTGGATAAAATCATGGAGATTGCTGTCTGTGCTAATCGTCACAGACACGTCGTTGGAAAAGACGAGCAGTGTTCGCTGGCGTCGGAGGGGCATGAATGGCCTGGTGTTTTCCTGCGCTGAAGCAGCGCCCGCTCGTTGTGAGGAGGTCCTGAGGCCAGATGGCCAGTCAGAAACACGTTTAGCAGGGAAGTCAATTAGAGCTGATTATAGCAGCTTCTGCAGAATAGATCTGGAACATATGCGTGTTTCACTGCGCTAATATCACCCAGCGCTGCAGCTACTGCCGTCTGCGTGTTTCTGCCATGTGGAAACGAGTCGGGACGGGTTCTGTTAAATTCCCAAACAGGTATTCGTTGCAGATGTGTTTCACAGAGCCGTCCCGTTCAGAAAGAACTTTTGGAAAATTGCAAATGACGTTCAGACAAATTATGCGCTGGTAAAGCTCGGCCCGGAGAGACCCCAAACCAGACGCAGAGCCCGAGAAACCCTGACCATTTCAGTTTAAACGTGACATATACTTCATGACACATGTTTGCATTTGCTTGCAAATACACAAATAAAAACGAGCAAAGTGAAATTGTGCAAAACAACATACAAAAAAAAATTTACGGAAAAAACAACAATGTAATTGACAGAAAGAAACAGTCTGATGTCAAAGAATCAAAGTTACAGGTGCAGGTGAGAGAGAGTGTTGAGTGTGTGTGTTGTATTGTGTCTCAGGTGTTGTGTGTGTGTGAGTGGGAGTGTATGTGTGTGTTGTCTCACAGGTGATGTGTGTATGCACGTGTCTCAGTCAGTGACAGCTGATCTGATGTCACATCTGTCATGTGGAGAGACAGTCAGAGCGTTTTGTGTGTGTGTGTGGGTGTGTGTGTGTTGTGTCTCAGGTTGTGTGTGTGTGTTGTGTCTCAGGTTGTGTGTGTGTGTTGTGTCTCTGGTGCTGTGTGTGTGTGTTGTGTCTCAGGTGATGTGTGCGTTTTGTGTGTGTGTGTGTGTTGTGTCTCAGGTTGTGTGTGTGTGTGTCGTGTCTCAGGTTATATGTGTGTGTGTGTGTGTGTGTGTGTGTGTGTGTCGTGTCTCAGGTTGTGTGTGTGTGTTGTGTCTCTGGTGTTGTGTGAGTGTATGTGTATGTGTGTGTTGTCTCACAGGTGTGTGTGTGTGTGTTGTGTCTCAGGTGGTGTGTGTGTGTGTTGTGTCTCAGGTGGTGTGTGTGTGTGTTGTGTGTGTGTGTGTGTGTGTGTGTGTGTGTTGTGTCTCAGGTTGTGTGTGTGTGTGTGTGTGTTGTGTCTCAGATTGTGTGTGTGTTGTCTCAGATTGTGTGTGTGTTGTGTCTCAGGTTGTTTGTGTTGAGAACAGAAGGAGGTTTGCAGTGTCCGCTGTGAGTTTCTGTGGTGATTAATGATCTAATGAATGTAGTTTGTTTTTACAGTTCCTCTGAGCAGCGGAGTATGATCCTGTAGAAACATCTGCAGGCGTTTCGTGCGCAGGATCTGCTCTGGATCTACAGCAGCACGTCTGCAGTAATGCTGAACGCGCAGCACTCAGGGAGATGTGCAGACGTGCTGCGCTTGTGCAAGTGTTTGCAGATGTGGAGGTGTGCGAATAATCTCCAGTAGATTCTCAGAACTGGTCTCTGTAGATGAAGTGTGAGCGCTCAGTGTTAATCTCTCTGTGTGATTTGTTTATTATATCTGCTGGTGTGTGTGTTGTTGTGTCAGACGTCTTCATTAACACAGCTGGAGCTGATGGAGGCGTGTGGTGTGGCTGCTGAAGGGCTTGTTGATGTTACGGAGGTTGACTGAGTGTGTTTAACTCTGGGCCAGTGCCGGTCCCTCCCTGAGGAGCGGCTCTTATCTGGAAAGCCTCTTAAAGACCCCCATCAGAGCTCAGCACACTGTTTGTTTTCATTGAAGCTCACACACACACACACACACACACATACACTCACACTGACTCACGCATTCACAGACACACACACACACACACACACACACACTCCTCTTTCAGGATGTAATTAACTTTACATGCATTTTTTGGTTGTGATTTCACACATTTATTCATTTAGTGAGTTCTAAAATTCTACATTCTAATTGGAATTCTAAAAATTTGCTAGAAAACTGCAAGATTTTGAGCGGTTGCTGCATGAAAGTGTCAGTGCCATTCAAAATGACAGAATCAGACCCTGTTTTAACGCTTTTAACTCCTTACAGTATGTTCCCACTCTGTGAGGGAAAACGGACGCAAATCTTCCTCCACATCCGCTGACATGTTTTCAGGGATCAGCTCATATGAGAGAATTTAATGTCATAATAGATATGAAAACGATCTGGTAATTGACGTACCTAGACTGGGGTTAGTTGTGCTAACTGCGGGTGCAGTGTAACGAAACACGATCAGAATAAAACATTGAGTGACTGGCAAAGTGTCTCTGCTGATTACGACACCTTTTTATTCAGATTCATATTTAGATGATTTAAACTCAAGCTGTCAGTGTTTTTGTTTGTTGCATTGATTTTGTGAAGCTCTGAGGAGGTTGGTTGTTTCTGTGATTGTCTCCTGCGCATCCAAACATGGTTATGTCTCGTTGCTAACCGCAGCTGATGCGCTCCGCGGGCAGGAAGAGGCCGGTGGAGTCTGAGAGCCGCTCTTGGCTCGAGTAGCACATAAAGCAGTTGGTTTTTCCAGCTATTTAATGACTGAAGTTTTTCGTCCCCACGGGCCGCAGCACAGGTGCAGCTGAAGCAATAGTTTACAGAGAGATGAAGGCGGACGGAGGGAAAGTCGGCTGCTCCGCTGGATAAATTGGATCCAGGGAGCACTAACTTTATGACTGTGAATGCAGGTGCAACACACACACACACACACACACACAGACCCGGCGCTGACCCGCGTGTTCGACACACACCCACGACTGACTCATGCAAACCAGCATACAAAACATCACGGCGGTAAGCGTCGACCGCACACACAGACGCTCACATGAGTGATGCCCATGGGAAATGAAGCACAACTGCGGACGATGCAGCGGCTGGGACCCTTTGGCGCTCGCTGCTGCTGTAAAACTCTTATTTGTTCTTCACCTGATCGTGAGGCTTTGAGTTTGTCGGATTATGGTCCGCAGTGCTCCAGAGCTCATTAATAAAACACAGCGGCACTCGCACAGGAAGACAAACATTTGAGTTGGACAACAAGGAAAAAGCATTAAAGTTTTATAAGTTGAAGTGGGACTGTGAGCGTTCAACAGGGCTGAATAATGCCATTGGACCTGCGGTTATGACCATTTATTGCTGTATATTTTAATATTTTATTGCTGAAACTCTGGTTTGTAATGTTTTCAGTACTTTGGTGCTTTGTTGAGTAATGACCTTAGACCGTGGATGCTGTTCAACTGGAGCTTCTGGTCGTGAGCTGCTCTGTTCACACGCATGTATACTCACTCTCACTCACTCACACACACACACACACACACGCGCACACTCGCTCTCACACACTCTCACACTCTCACACACTCACTCACACTCTCACACTCACTCACACACACACACATACACACACACACACACGCGCACACTCACTCACACTCACTCTCACACTCACTCACACACACACACACTCTCACACTCACTCACACACACACACATACACACACACACACACGCGCACACTCACTCAAATTGAGCAGGACACTCACTCACACACACACACACTCTCACACTCACTCACACACACACACATACACACACACACACACACACACACACACTCTCACACTCACACTTTCTCACACACACACACACACTCTCACACTCTCACACTCACACTTTCTCACACACACACACACTCTCACACTCACTCACACACACACACACACACACACTCACTCTCACACACTCTCACACACACACACACACAAATGTCTCTTTTTTTTTTTTTTCAGCATCTTGTGCTGCATTTTTAAAAAAGTGTTTATAAAGTGTGAATGTCCAAGTGTTTGATTTGTTCCTCCTGCTGTCTGCAGGGTATGTGCAGAGCCTTATTCGGCGAGTGGTGAATAATGTCAATATCGTGGTCAATAATCTGATTCTGAAGTATGTGGAAGATGACATCGTGCTGTCGGTCAACATCACGTCTGCAGAGTGCTACACGGTGGACGATCTGTGGGACCGAGCCTTCATGGACATCATCGGTGAGTCCGGCAGGTTCACGTGTTTCAGTTTAAGCATGTGAATGAATGTTAGTTTGGGGTGTAGGAGCATTAGGGGCAGTGGAGGGTGTTTTTGATTAGGCCAGGTTTATAGGTTAGTTATACTCGGGTCAGGTATGCTGGGGCTTTTATGGATTTAGTTGATTTTGTAGTTCTGCTTTATAAATATTCCTTTGAATTACACAAATGAAATGCATGTGCCAGACAACAATAATGAATCATTATTTCAACAACTGCATAAACATTAGAGCCCGACCGATATATCGTTTTGCCGATATTATCGGCTGATATGAGCTTGTCGCCGATATATCGGTATCGGCTAATACGCTGCTGATATGATTTTATTTTTTACAGAACATATAACGCAGATAAAATGCTTGAAATGGTGTAATTACTTAGTTTGTCCAGCAGTGCGCGCTCCATTGTCTGCTACTGGCGACCTGGATGAAATGCTTTAAAGCTTAAGTCTATGAAAAACCATTAAAACTTTGAACGGCCATATCTCCGTAACGGCGTGGCGAATCCACACCAAATTTGGGGGATCCCTTCAGCTTAAGTCTACATCTAGAGGCCCGCTTTCGAATGAGACCACCCCCGCGTCGATAGCCCCCGGGGTTCTGGAGTTACGGGTGGTTAAATTCGCGGTCCGGCGCCGACCGATCTGGCGATCCCGGGGGGCTACCGACGCGCGGAGGGTGGCATTCGAGAGGCTCCTCGAGCTGAAGGGCTCCCCCGAATCTGGTGGAGATCCGCCGGCGCGTTCGTGAGACAGTAACACCAGTCAACACGTTCACTTCAGTAAGGAGAGCTCTTGTTCAGGCAGTTTCGTCTGTGTGTGAAGACAGTAGCGCAAATCCGTGAATGAATGTTCTGAAGTGAAATAAACTTCAAAGGAATAAAGTTGAATGGAATTGAATTGAATTAAAGTTGAATAAAATTCAACTTTACTGTTCAGTGCACTGATGTCAGACTCATTTTGGATAATAAAGTTTATTGTTGAATTGTTAAATGCCCTGCCTCCACTACATATCTCTGTCACGTCATTATAAGTGTTTGATCACCACATTCGAGTGATCATTGCAAAAAATGTGTTTATGTATATATATATTCTGTTTATGTGTATACTGTAGTACTCTATATATAGTACCAGTCAAATGTTTGGACACATGAATGGGAAAGGGTCCAAACTTTTGACTATACTGTACTATAATATACACAAAGAATATCAGCCGATATATCGATATCGTCCTTTTTTTACTCCCTAATATTGGTATCGGGCCCAAAAAAAACATATCAGTCGGGCTCTAATAAACATGTTCACAAAACTCCTCTGAAGAGTCCGACACACACGTTGACTTTTGACCCTTTGAAGTGCTTCTTCAGAGTCAGCTGCTGCTGCGCTGCGTCACGATCTGAAGAGCAGCTAATAAACCTGATGAACTGCTGCCGTCAGCATTCACTCACTCTCTCTCTGTCCGTGTGTGTCTCTCTCTCTCTCTCTCTCTCTCTCTCTCTCTGTAGCTCCTGAACTGGTCCTGAGGAAGGTGATAAATTTTTCCGACTGCACCGTGTGTTTGGATAAGCGCAATGCAAGCGGGAAGATCGAGTTTTATCAGGACCCGCTGCTCTACAAATGCTCCTTCAGAACTCGTCTTCATTTCACCTACGACAACATCAACGCCAAAATCCCCGCCGTCATTAAAGTAAGCGGCGCGTCTGTGGTGTGTCAGGATGAGGTTTGTGTTCTCCTTGTGCGTCACAGTGTGTGTGTGTGTGTTGAGGTTCACACGATGGTGGAGAGTCTGAAGCTCTCTCTGACGGACCAGCAGCTGCCCATGTTCATCCGGCTGATGGAGCTGGGTGTCGCGCTGTATTACGGAGAGATGGGCGTCCATCGAGACGCAGAGAAGGAGGAGAGCGGCTCGCTTCGAGAGAGCGTCTCTGGTGAGTGTCTCATTCTCTTGAATGGGTTTGTTTCTGAGGCTGTCGACTCGCTGGATCAGATGAACTTGAGCACCTGTGGTGAAGACAGTCCTTCTGTCTCTCTCTCTCTTCATTCGTTTATTGCTCTGGAGACTGTCACGTGTGTCTCGAAGCTTCTCAGGAGAGAAACGGAGCAACAGAGGCTGAGTGAGAGATTTAATTAAAGCATGTCAGAGTGTCTGTGAGAAGACGCTCGCAGTGAGATTACACTCATTCCAGTGCGCTGACAGCAGCTGATCTCATCGTGTGCCGCAGGTCTGATGGACGCGTCCGATCCGGCTCTGACGGGTCAGTACTTCCAGGGCGAGGATGAAGATGAAGGCTGGATGTCGTGGGCCTGGTCCTTCGTCCCGGCCATCGTGAGCACCGGAGAGGAGGAGGGCGAGGGCGAGTCTGGCCTCTACACGGACACACAGGAGTCTGGAGCCACCCGGCCCCTGCAGAACTCACCCAGAGACCCCATAGTGTCTGTCGGCTTCTACTGCACCAAAGCCTCCGTCACATTTAAGGTGAGCAGGATAAAAACAGGAAAATGCAGAGACAAATTCTCATACTAAATACTGATTAGTATGTATTCAGTATCAGTCGCAAGTGATTTCAGTGGTGTATCAGTGTCAGCAGCTCCACACCTTCTTCTCTGGCCAGGTCCAGATCTCGGGGAGCTCTCCACGCTGTGGATGATGAATATACTGTATTTTCTGTTTCCTATCACTGTCAGTCCAGATTAAACTCTTTGTGTTCTACTGTCAGGTCACGCCGGTATGACTGAGGATTTATGCTCAGGAGTTTGCTGGTCTGTTCTTCTCAAATCACTTCATCTGATTTTACAGTCAATCCTTTTATTCTCTTAATCGTCATCCACTGAGCATCCGTGGGAAACCTGTGAAGTTGATGCAGGACTAATTACAGGGCTTAAAGTTCTCCGGCACCGTGCCAGATCTCCGGCGTGCGCGTTTAGCTGCGGGAAAATAAGATTGTCCGCCTACCTCCTACACAAAAAAACGTGTTGATATCACGTTCGAGTTAATAGCCGCTTTTCCACTATCGGGCCGAACGGTTCTAATAACTGTCAGGTTCCAGTTGTATTTCCACGTGAGCCTGGTACGGCGCGGCACGATTACAAACCGTTCTCGGCATGGTTAGACAACCGTGCTCTTAGCGTGCGTGTGCGTGACGTCGCCACTCTGTTACGTGGCTACCAGTTTCTCCATAGCTGGCTGAGCGGAAGCGCGCTATTTAATCAAGCATCCAATTATTGTTATTTGCCCTTACTGATATTACACCCGTCGTCGCCTTCTGTTTATTTTATTTTTCGCATCAAGAGTTGTGTCCTTTTTTCAGTTATTTAACGAAGTAAATATCGGATAAAAAAGGGAGTCCCAAAAACAGAAATATCTGATCATCGTCCATATCGCGGTTTACGTTACACTTGCGTTACCAAGGCAACGACTGATGCATTTGTATTACATTCCAAAGAGCTGCGTTATGAGCAGCACAGTGGAAGATGAAACCGTATCCGTGCTGACTGGCCCGGAATGGAACGGTTGAGCAAAGAGAACCGTTCGGCTCGATGGTGGAAAAGCGGCTACCGAGTTCGCCTGCCAATGTATGAGAGGAGCACAGCTTTCACTCTCAAACAAACTAACATTACTAGCCAATCAGACATTTTTGGTCCTATAAACATGAGACGCGCATAATAGTATCCAGCTGCAGAGTCGCAGCTGATGAGCGCGGCACATTCTGAAAAAGCTGCGAGGCGCAATGGTCAAAGATTTCCTTCTAGTGCCATATCTATATAGAAAAGCTATCTTCTATATAATTAACGGAGCTTTGTAAACGGCTCAGAGTAATCACGTCATCTCCATAAGAACGATATGATTGGCAGAACAAATTTACCCGTAGTTTTGAAAAGGTCTGTTCACACATGATCTCTTAAGGGTAATGTACCAGTGAAGACTGTATGTGTGAAAGGGGCTGAACTCTTCCTCTGCATCTGCGGTGAGTTTGGGTTGCTTAATGTTCATCTGCGGAAACTGTGCGTATCTCACTTAATTTGTCACTTAAGCCATTTATACACCTATGCCAACACAGGAGAATACATCAACATATTTCTAAATATGTGATTTATTGTAGATCGCGATTTCAAAAATAAAAGTTTCTCACATTGCATGTGGCCAAATATTGCAATTAAATGGATTTAAATGTCGTTGAATCACGTGAAACATCACCAGGCCGTTGGCGCCCTCTGCAGGTGTTTGTTATAATATAGGCATATTACATTATGTATTTAACGGTGTTGTTCAATAAAACCATGTACTTGGTTTTCATACTTTATATATCATTACTTTATATATAAATATAGTCATATTAAAGCCTTTTTTTCACTTAGTTCTATTCGTCAAAATAATCAGTAGATTACTTGATTAGCAAAATAATTGTTAGTTAAGCCCTAGATTTGTTAAAACATTTCAAAATATAACTGCATTGTTCTACTTTTTGTAATTAAAAGACATATATTTTGTCATTCAAATATTTCTTTTTTTATAGTATTAAAGTATTAAAGCATTGTCTCGTTCTAGTGAAGCAAGTATCTGTATTTTGTCTCGTCTCGTGAGCTCAGTGTGTTGTCACAGCCCTAGTGTCTACGAGCGTGAGAAAGCTCATAAAGTGTATGATATAGCCTAGCTTTCATTCTTCAGGTCAATCATATACTCGTGGAAAATAAATCAGTTTGAATGAGGAAAGCGATAACTTTGCCACAGTATCCTTTCAGATGTTAAAGTTGCCAGTCATTGCATTCTTTGCGTGTGCTGCACTTTATTTGTACCATTTGTTTTATTAGTTTATATATTAGAATTCGAAAGACAATAACAATATTTTTTTAAGTAGTGCTTGGAAAGTCCTTGAAAGTCCTGGAATTGTATTTTGCAGTGTCTGTACGAACCCTGTTTAAGTTACCAGTTCTTGGACCATTTTAATGTTTCTGTTGTTGTTAATTGAACTGAACTGTAGTTTTCTGTAGTAAACTGTCTTTGTATATTTCCTATTTTATATTAATTTCATAGTATTTAATTTACTATTATTTCTTGATTGTAGGTCAACTTGATATCAGAAGCATCTAAATGTTACATGTGTTTGCATTATAGTGAGTAACCTTTCCTGGTATTGCTGTTTCAGATATCCACCATAATCTGTAGTCTGAACCTGTCAAGGGCTACAGCAAGGGCAGATATGTTACTAGTTAGTTTCAAGGAAAATCATTTTC